TGAAAAAAAATGTTTCCGTGCATTTTTTTCCTTCTGAACTGTGAAACTGTTTACTAGGGTCTCCATTCTTTTAGCAGCATTGCTCTGATATGAAGGTTAGGATTTTACCTACAATTTAGATTAAGCACCAAAAGATGACAATAGTTAAAGTAGTAAGAGTGCATCAATGAGAGATCACAGAGAAGCACTTTCTAATAAAATAAATTCTTTATTAAACAGTAAAATTACTTTATACAAGTTAAAGCGAGAAAAACATAAACTAGAAGAAACAATAAGCTACTTTATGTACCGACTGTCTTCTGTTAAAATACCTGGTACATAGTAAGTGCTCAATAAATGTTTACCAAATTCAAAGAACGTTTAAAAGAAAACACTGATGTTATTTAAAATCAACTTGTTTCCTCAGTCTAAAGCTCTTGCTCTAGTATAAGGCTGCTCTTAGAATTAAAATAATGGCTTATTCTACATTTCTCTTAATTTCTAGGAGTCTACTGTTCAATGATTTTGATTGTTCGATTACTAGTTCCAGCATTAAAGGACCTGACATGCTAAAATTTTCTATCATTATCTAGTTTCTGCATTCTAAATTCATTTTATCATAAAGCTGTACTTCTCTAATCAATGCAGTCAGTAGAGCAAAACCTCCTATCTGCGCAGGCTCCGGACGCGCAGGCTCAGCGGCCATGGCTCACGGGCCCAGCCGTTCCGCGGCATGTGGGATCTTCCCGGACCGGAGCGCGAACCCGTGTCCCCTGTATCGGCAGGCTGACTCTCAACCACTGCGCCACCAGGGAAGCCCCACTTTCAGTGATCTTAAGAGCAGTATCCATGCAGGGCCATGCTTCCTACAGAAAAATCCTACCCCAAATCTGCCACTTGTCTCCAATGTCACTCTTAAATATTTGCCAACTCCTACTACTCAATCTCTTGGAGTCATCTTTATTTGATTATTTTGTTAACATCTTTATTTTTACTAGGGATTGCTGGCAGTCTATAATTTGGCCTTCTGTCAACCACTTTACACTTTTCTTGACTAAAACATGGACATATATTTTAACCATATGCAACAAAGCAAAAAAGTTGTACAGAACACCAATTTTTCAAACAACTTAAGCATTTCTAGTGATTAGAAAGTAGGACAGTATTTTAAAGGCTTCATACTTTTCCCTTTTCTATTCTAGATATGATCTGTAATTTATCTTTTTATTTCCTCTGTAAATAGAAACATACTATACACATATCCTTAAAAATGTTTGAAAAACACATTTTTCATTCTTTGTTTTTTCAACGAGCATGATTTATGAGGAAGCAAAATAATAAAAGAATTTCCTTAATAATGAACTACAAATTCACTTAAAAGTAACATTCTTAAGTTGCTGAGAAGGCATACAATCACAAAATCGTGTAACCTGTAACAAAATTGTTCTAGACCTTAGGAATCATCTAACTGGTTCATTTTTACATGTGAGGAAATGAGGAATCGAGTTTAAATTCTTTCAAAATAAGGGAGTAGCAAAAGTCAGACTGAAAATAAAGTGCAAGAAAAAATAGGCTTTTATAACTCACAGTAAACATCATACTCAATTTTAATATTAACACTTTACTGAAAGACTACAGGAAAGGTTCAAACTAGAAAAAGTAAAGCTGAAAGGATTTAGTGCACTCTGACACAGTTCTGAAATTATTTTCCTTCCAACTCTAGCAAAGGGCCTAATGTAGCTCTCACTTTAAGATATCTAAACCCAGAGATTGAGATTTGAATTCAACATGAGAAGTTGAGGTAAATCAACTTATTGATCTATTATTTTATCTTATGCTTGATTCAGTGACTTACAGATTGTAGATGCTCAATAAATACATGCATATAAACTTGAAGAGAACCCAGATCCATAAGTCTTATTTCCCAGCATTACAGCTGGGCTGTGTACCTTCAAACTGGCTATACACAAAGGTTATAAATAGGGTTGGGGAGGTGAGGGGGAGGGAGCTGATCACAAATATAGACCCTTCAGAAGAAATGTTCATATTTTTAAAATCTTTCATTAGAATTAGCAATATACAATCATTACCAAATAAACATCTCCTTAGGATAAAGTTTTATAAAGATCTTAAGAACATTATTTAATGTTTTTTTCACATTTTTATCACTTTCTCCAAAGCATGTTCATTGAACTTGTCCAAATAAAATGAATTCTGCATTAATGTTTCACTTGACAGTACTGCAGTAGGTTTTGCCTTAATATCTAACATCTATTGAAAAACAAAATACAAACAACTATCATAAACTGACAGACTTTCTAGAGATTATTCTTTCATTAGTAAGATTTAGTCTTCTAGCTTAAGGACTCTGGCAAGGGCACAAAAGTTTCTAAAAACAATTTTAGTTTTTAACACAGTAGAGTAGTAGTCTGGGGGAAATAAAATTATTATGGCAGGATTTGAATATGGAGCAGAAGGATCCCTGTTAGGACTCACAGATGTGCTTCAGGGAAGTCCAAGAACTCAATGAAATATGCAAAAATTGTAATACTATATGCAAACATATTTTTTCTAGAAAGAATATAGCTCTCTTTTTCAAAAGGTCAATGACCATCCCCTGCAACCCAAAAAAACAGTGAAAAGAGCATCTAAATTTGTGAAAACAGATGCTGAGAAAAACATCAAGGTATGGTTCACTCATTTTTATGACCTTTTAAGCCACAAGAGCCATTTTGTTAAAACACAATGTTTTTGATTATCTCATTTAGTTAAACCGTTATTCTTTAAATCCTTTTCTGGGGGTGCTATTACAATTTCTTACTGGGACTAAGTAACTAGCTTCCTTTAGCATAAAAATGTTGCCTTTCTGAAAACCCAAGAATGTTTTCCTGTTTGCCATTTTCAAGTTGATTTAATAAATTAGATACGGCTTTTTTTTCTATTATTTGGTATCTTAGTAAGACACATGAAATACGTTTTTTGGTATTCTGGATATTAATAAAACATCCCAATACAACAATTACTTTTAAGTTTTTAACAAAAAAGGATATTGATGTATACTGTTAGCTATAGCAAATCAGCCTCCAGTAAATAAAGATCGGGTGTCCCCTGGTTTGACCACCCAATTACTATGAATTATGTGTGGAGTTAGTTGTATTCTTTACTACTTGACTCCACAAACTTCACAAATACCAGCTGAGTATAATGAAGTAAGAGACAAAGCTGTAGTCTCTACTATTCTCTAACATAAACAGAGTAGTGAGTGGTAGTAAAAGTAGCGTTCAGTCTGCACTGTGCTTTTGGACCTTCTCAAAGGCCTGAACAAGCTTTAAGCTTCATGAGCAAATTTCAGTTCTTCTAGGTCTTCTTTCTCTGAACAGGAAGTATACACTTCCCTTATAATGGTTTCTAGGTATCTTAGGGCCCTCCAGTATATCCTACTCTGACCTTGGGCTTTTGAAAGTCAGTAAATTTTAATGGAAAGTTAAAATTATCCTAAATCTTAGTTTGGGGTCTAAAAGTTTGTGTATTCACGTATTAAAGTCAAACATGATATAACCCCAAAACCACCACTAATGACTAGAACCAAAGACAAAATCTACATGCAAAAAAGTCTTTTACACAGTATATAAGCTTCTTTTGCTCATTCATTCACCCATTCACTTAGACATTAGGTCTTACTGTGTGCCCAGCTGTGGGGATTCAAAGGAAATAAAATATAGCTCTAATTCTCATTTGGTCTATCGGAAAGATTTCACATTTTTAAGGGTGATTAAAAGAACATGCAGATTACAGCCTTCCTTGAGCATTACACATTCAAAAATTCAATACTGAACATATCTACAGGTAATTTCTGCCCATCCTGAGCATCTTTGGTATTATTTCTTGATAATAATACTTGACATCAATAGCACAAAGAAAACAGATGGGAATAATTTCAAATTTTATCCTTTACTTTGTATATTTATCAATAACATGTTATAATGATACTTCAAACTTAAAAAGATAACGGGTTTAAAACGAAACAAAAAACTATTCTTACAGCAGGAAAAGGGATTTCCCTCCTTTATTAAGTTCTTATTTTAGGACATATCAATTTGTACTCCTCGTAAGAGGCATAGGACTAAAAAAAAAAATCAATTTTTTCCTCCTGCTTCCAAAATTTTATCAGTTACCCTAGACGGTCATGAGCAGAGTTAAAGTTAAGCTGAAACTTTAGATAAAGAAGAAAGTCTGTTTTGAGAACAGCACTTATCATTGCCCAAAACTGTTCAGAAAATGTTGCAGATTTTAAGATACTTAGCTTGGACAACAGCAGATAACGCTGAAAAATGTTCCTCAAATATTTTAAAAGGCAAATTAAATTTTTTTCTACCAGCTAAATTACTGGACTTTTTGTATAAGAATGTCATTCAAGTTTTCTAAAATGAGAGTTTACTCATTTTAGAAAGTGAGCTTACTCATTTACTGAGTTTACAGTAAACATCTCTAAAATTTGTATTTTTTAAGCAATACTGTCATGAGATGCATTTGTAAAATTACCCAGATTTAGACAAAAGTAAATGAGAAAATTAAAAGGGGAAGCCTTGAACACTATTAATTTTTTCCCGCATGACAAGTACAGATATTAGCAGAATATCCACCAAGTAAAATGAAAATAGTAACTGGTTTCTAAGGCACACAGTTAGTTACAACATCTAAAGTGGGATTTATTTGATGAATTGCATGAAGCCTTCAGAACATTTGCTGCAACTCAAGCAGAAAGAGGAAAGTGTTCACATAACATGTTAGCCTGTAGTCAAGAAAGACATTTCAACTAAAATATGTCAATCCCCGAATCTGAAATCACTTAGACATTACTGATGTAGTATTTGGAAGAATTTCTGTATAGAAGATTTTTCAGACTGAAATATAGTACTCAGTGCTTCAAGGGCTAGGTAAAATTAGTTCTCTTTTGTTCAACAGTGCCTCATTTCCACTAGATAAAGTTTGGTCTCCAGTCTCACAATCCAATGCCTGCCTTACACTGAGTCATCCTTCACTGGACCACACAAAGTGTTTACATTATAAAAGGCTTCTAGATCACTTGGTTCAAGTGTAATAGCTGGTTTCATTAATGTTTCAGGAGCAAGGGAACTCTCTCCAATAATTCTCAGGTTGATAAATTTGATTTTCCAAGTATTCTCCACAAAAGGGCAGCGGATGAGTCCAAAAATTTGTTCAAAAATGCCCAAACAAGTGTTCTCTCGGTGGACAGTCCCAGCAACTCCAACCATAACTAGACCATGGGGAGAAGAAGCACATTTCAGTCCATGGGAATCTAGGTTGGGACTGAGAAAAAGATATTCTTCTTTCACTAGTGACAGGAGACGAAGGCTCACAATTTCTGCTCCATGGTAGTCTATCACATTTTGCTCAGATGTGTTGTAATAAAACCTAAGCTTGACATCATGCCAGAAGTGCTGTGGCCCCCATTCATCTTGAGGTGTTCCCAGAAGAGGATTCTGACAATTAAGAAGTTCAAAGAACCAGTGACAGAATTCTTCACCTAATCGACGAAAATCAACCTTTTCAGCTTTTTTATCTTCTTTCTCCTGTTGATTAATAAAACCAACGTTAATTCTTGTATCTATTTACTATATTGCCTGTTTCATAGCTAACTTTTAAGGTACTAATTTAAGGTACTACCTGTGAACTCACTGAACCCATCTTGCACAGTAAATTATTTCTCAAAAAGGGGAGGTCATTTTAGAATTTCTCAGCTTAAACTTCTGAAAATTCCTCTAAGAAATTAAGGTTCAAAGTCTCTTAAAATATCAGCATGAATTAAGAGCCAATAATAAGGATTTACATAAGCATTTTCTCTTGATTGTGGCAGTGATTTCACAGGTGTGTTATTTGTCAAAACTTTCAAACTGTATGCTTTAAATGAATACACTTCACTGTGGTATATTTTATATGCAGCAAAGTTTATAATAAACATGTCTTTAAACACACTTCTAATATGATTGAAACAGCTTACTTTCTATGACTGGGATTATTTTATACTATTTCTTTCCAAAATGAATATTGCAAAAATACACCTGATAGGCTAGATTTTATTCAACAATGTATTCCAGAGCACAGTACCTCATCTAGGTGGTGAAAGATCTTGTATTTACTGGGCACATGCTATTACTGAATGTACTGGGCACTGTGCTTGGCACTTAAGTGCTATTTCCGTCTTTCTCCACAAGCTTTATGACACAGATATTATCATTATGCCCGTTTTATAAACAAGGCTCACAAAGGTCCTTACTTGCTCATTTACAGCTAGTATACAGCAGACCCTAATATGAAGTCACGTCTATATGATTTTAAAGTCAACATTCTTTTCAGTACATTAAGGAAGGCTAAGAAGTTCCTTTCCTAATGTGAAGGCAAACCTCTCTCACTGTAAAATACCATTAATTCAATGTGGGTATGTAGTTTAAAAACTGCAAGTTACCTAAAGGTTCAATCGATATTTAAATATCCACACAATATTTAAAATGTACAGTGGAGATAAAAAGAAATACGAACAGCCAATGTCAGCTGGAGGAAATTACTAAAAGAGGATTTTTTCCTAGCTAACAAATAAAATTTTTTTTAAAATTTAAGTTTCTTTCATGAAATGTTTGCAATTTAATACCAAAGAAAGTCTTCAAAATGAGAAAGGGCTTACAACAGCACTCTTCTAAAGTGGAAAAAAGAAACTGGAGAACCAGAGGCTAAATTAAAATTAAATTGATCCTGTAGTCTATCCATTCTCTTTAAAAATCAATAGTCCCCATTTGATAAAGGGATACAAAACATTTTTTCTCACAAATCAATAGAATATTACATATACATTACTAAATATCAAAAACACTTTGTCTCGGGTGCTTTACTGCTCTTTCTTTAGGATGCAAAAAAAAAGAAAGTAAAGCTAAAAGTATTTTAAAAACAAAAAACCATTAACCAAATCATTCCAGATCTAGGATTATCTAAAGATTTTTACACAGAACTACAGTTCAGGATATGACTATAAGGTCTGTTTTACCTGTTCAAAGAGTCTAATGTCCTCTGTCTTAACTGGCTCTGGCGTTTCCTTCAATTTCAATTGTGACTGCTTTTTCCAGTAATCCTTTGCATGCTGAATAAGATTGTGTTTTTCAGTAGCTGGAGGTATAATAACCCCCTGTGTTGCCAAGTACTTAAATATGATTTCTCGGTGGACTTTTTTACGCCTCAAAAGTTCTTCTACATTTTGACTGTACACTAATATTGCACGAATGGCATCTAAAAGAAAATTATGAAGATTAATAGAAAATCATGAGTCACTTGTAAATTTGTCCACGGTCAGCAGAAACTCTATCGAATAATATTTATAAACTCTTGTCATGGCATTATTGCTTTTGTATAAGACGGTTATCATTTCTAAAAACCAGGAAGTGGGGGCTTCCCTGGTGGCGCAGTGGTTGAGAATCTGCCTGCCAATGCAGGGGACATGGGTTCGAGCCCTGGTCTGGGAAGATCCCACATGCCGCGGAGCAACTGGGCCCGTGAGCCATAACTACTGAGCCTGCACATCTGGAGCCTGTGCTCCGCAACAAGAGAGGCCGTGATAGTGAGAGGCCCGCGCACCGTGATGAAGAGCGGCCCCCGCTCGCCACAACTAGAGAAAGCCCTCGCACAGAAATGAAGACCCAACACAGCCAAAAATAAATAAATAAATTTATTAAAAAAAAAAAAAAAGGAAGTAGGTTGTCACGTTTTGGATTTTAAAAAATTTTCTTTAAACTATAAATTTCCCCACCTAAAATTCCTCCTCCCTTTCACTTCTCATACGAGATTGTGAATTTAAGCATTTTCTTTTAAAGAATAGTTGTATTTTAAGAAAAAATTTGAATAAGAGAAGAAAAAGTTTTAATAAGGTCAATGGAACTAAATTCATTTACAATCCCTAAAATATAGGTAAAATTACAATACTTTTCAATCTCCTCACTCTACAGATAACAAAAGTCAGGGGCAGAACCAAGACTCTTAATTTTAAAGAACTTCTATTAAACAACAGACTAAAGATTATTTTTACATATGTGAGGTATACAGAATGGTAATAAAATGAACTCCTATATACACACGACACAGCTTAAGACACAGGAATTACTGGTATCTCTGAGGCCTCATTTTACCTCTCCCTACTTAATGCTATATTCCCTCTCTCTCCTCGCTCACTTCACGTGTAGCTACTCTCCAAACTTTTATCATTCCCTCGATTTTCTTTTATTTTTTCTTTTCTTTTTCTTTGTTTTTGGCCACTCTGCCGGGCTTGCGGGATCTTAGTTCCCTGACCAGGGATCGAACCAGGGCCCCCCCAGTAGTGGAAGCTCAGAGTCCTAACCACTGGACCATCAGAGAATTCCCTCGATTTTCTTTAGAGTTGTACAGCATAACTATGTATCCCTACAAAACATAGTTTGGTATTTCTTTGAATGTTCTATAAATCTAATCCATCAATATATATAGTCTTCTATAATTAACTTTTAATGTTTCTGAGATTAATCTATGTGGCTATACACAGCTGTAGTTAATTCATTTTCAGAGCTGTACCATAGGTAATTATAGACTATACCACAAGGTATCTATCCTTTTGTTTATAGACTTTTATTATGTGTATCCAATTACAAATACTATTACTTTGGACATTTCCACACTTGTCTCCCAGCCCAGAGGGGCAAGCAGCATGAGCATCACCTGGAGCTTGTTAGAAATGTGGAATTTATGGGCCCACTCCAAAACTACTGAATCAGAATCTGCATTTTAACAAGATCACTGAGGGACACATAGGCACATTCAAGTTTGAGAAGCTCAGGTAAGTAACCTTCCATTTAAGGAGATAATATCGAACTTGTTTTCCAAAGTACTAGTTCTAATTTACACTCCCCCAGTAGTTATCAACGACATACTTCACAAGATCAACAACACTTGACGTTTTTACATTTAGTTTTTGCCAACTTGGTACATATGAAAGGCACCATGTAGTTTTGGTTTTCATTTCATTGCTTTCTAAAGATGTTGAGTATCTTTCAATATGCTTATTATTTTTTCCTCTCTGAGAAATGACTTCAAATTATTTAACATTTTTGTACTGGGTAGTTACGTTTCTTGATTGCTTTTGGATCCACTATCAATTAAATTCAGCAATTTTATCTATTACAATTTTAAATTCACATTCACCAAGACTGTTAGAAGGCGATTAGCATGTAAAATATATAAATGCCAAAGAACTACATTAAGTCTAAAATTATTTTCAGTCTAAATTCTTAGAAATTTATTCACTTAGTGTTCCTGGTTCACTTTCAAATGAATGACCTTAAATGGCGGAAATGTTAAAAGCAGAGAAAGACAGTTTTAAAAGGCAGACTCTTTTGTAGATACTTAAATCATATGCTAATACAGGAGGCGGACATTTTCTCATTTTAAACTAAAATTCAGCAAATTTAAAATATAACTAGCCAGGTAATATACAAAATCATAAATGCTTAAGCTGCTCATTACATTACAACCAGACTGAATATTTGTAATCCATGAAATCTACTCTACCAAAATGTTTATTTGGCTCTGAAAGTAATGTAGTCCTAGTACACAGAATCATCTCTGAAAAACTTTGGATCCAAAAAGAGACATGGATTGATCCTATCTGCTCTTTTATCACAGTAGTTGTTTTACGCAGCAGACTGATAAAAAGTGTTTATGATATCCTCCCCCAAGCTTGAAGAAAATGAGCAGCGGCTGACACGCGTCAGCTGATCGAAACTGAAAATGGAAAACACCCTGACTCCCCGGAAATCTTCAAAAAACAAACAAACAAAATCACTATTCACGTACTCTGCATCTTCGAAACAAGCAGCATTTGTCCACAACGTATAATGAATAAAACCTGGAAGCAGCGCCATTTTCAGCCTGCGTCTGAAGCAACAGAGCAGCTATAGGGGCCGAGATTCCCGAGGGTTCCGCACAAGCGCAATCCCGGACGGGCTGGGAAGGAGGCCTACCACTGCCTCCACTCACACGCTCCCGCCAGCTGGGGGCCGGGTGAGGCCTGGGGAGGGACGGCCGCCCTTGGGGAGAAGGGTCTACCTTTACCTTGGCGGTCCTCAGGCTGCACCAGGCGGTTGGTGATGGTGTCGCATAGGGCCATGATCTCGTCGTTGTCCAACAGGCCGAGCAGGTTACGACAGCCCTCCATCTCTGGGTAGCTGAGCCCCGACATCTCTACCCCCAGAAAGCGGGGAGAGGACGCCAATAACTTCGCTCCCTTAGGCCCACTGGGCCGGCGCCGTGGCCACAGGTACCGGAAATGCTCTTCCTGTTGTTCGCAGCCAAAAGGCCTCGGGTATTCCAGAGCCGTGGGCGCGGAAGTGATCGTTAATGAGGGCACTAAGGGAACGCGGTGCTCTGAACGGTGGTTCCGGTCTCTCGGGGACTGAGTGGAGTCCCACGGACCTCACTTTAGGGAAACTCCGCATTTACACCGGGAACGTCGACCTTCCACAAGGGAAAACGAAACCTAAACTCCTCAGGAGTCCCTTCTCCAAAAGAACGCCTGGGAGGGCTGCGCAGGGAAGGTTCGCTGAAAGCCGGAGGCGGCCTCAGCGCAAGACAAGCTCCCGTGATGCCACGGGGCCGCCCAATGGAGGCGTCTCCTCCCCGCCTTTGGGCCGGGACCCCGAGAGCGCTCGAAAGTTCTCTGCGGCCACTTCTGCGTTGGGAGCACCTGTAGTTTGATATTCTTAAATTACGTAGTTTTGTGTTAAAACAATTTGGTTTTGTTTAACATTATACTTGGAAATGTTAAGGGGAAAAAAATCAACAATCCTGCCACGCCTGCCCGCCTTGCAGCTGACTTAAAGTCCCCAACAAGCTGCGGTCCGCTGTTGCTTCCCTTCTTATCCTCGCCGGCTTGGCTTTAGGCGAGGCGGTATCACGAATAGTTTAAGGTTGGGGTCTTTGAAAGCCAGATTACCAGGGTTTTATCCCGTCATTTACTAACTGTGACCGAGAGCAAGCTCTTTGGTCTTCCAGTTTTCTGTCTCGAAACGGATCTGGTAGAGATACCTACCTCATAGGGTCGTTGAAGCGCAGGGAGCGGGTGAAGAACTGTGCCTGGCGCCTAGAAAGAGCCCAGTATATATCAGCTATTCTTACCACTGTTGGTGTCAACATTCACGAGAGGGAAACTTCAGACTTCAACGCATTGTCACTGGCTTCTGTCTCCTTCCATTGTTTTAGCCATATTTTAGATTTTTAACAATTAGATTATTGCCAGTTAGTAGCTGAAATGTACACACCTGCAGATATACAGGTGAGCAGATTTAACTTTAAAAAAAATATCACAGCTAAATATCAGTCAAAATGAACTGTAAATACAGTCTATAAATAATGTATTCAAACCATGGGTAAACTGATTTGCCAGTGGATGTTATTGGGGGTACCATTTACTCATCAGATACCAGTTCTTCATTTGTCATTAGGCATTGAGTGCCTACTATGCTAGATATTGAAGATTCCGAGAAATGACACAGACCCTCCTTCAAGGAGCTTTTGGGAGTGTTGCAAATAGAGAGATAAGTGCTCACAATACTGGTGTGGAACCAAATGGAAGAAGACATGCCCAACTTTTTCATTCCTTCATTTTTTAAAAATGTGTTTGCTGAGCATGATTTGCCAGACACTGTTCTTTATGCTGGGAACAAATGCCAAGTCCTTTGGAGCTTGTATTCTAGTGAAAGGAAATAGACAATAAACATAAAAGAAACTATACTATGGCAGGAAATTCTGTGGAGAGAAATCAAAAAGAGAGGAATGGAGGAGAGGATGTTGCTATTTTACACAGGCTGTGAAGAAAGGCTTCTCTAAGTGACATTGAAGGAAAGTCCTGAAAAAAGTGAGAAACTGAACCACAGAAGAGTGTTCTAGGAAGAAGCAGAAGTAGAGGTTCTGAGGAAAGAACAGAGTGCTTGGCATGTAGGAAGGAGGCCAGGAAGCTGCAGCAGCTTGTGCAAAGAGGAACCAGTGAGTGGTGAGGTTGGAGTTGTCAAGATTGATCTAGAGCAGGGTTTCTCAACCGTGGCACTACTAACATTTTGGGCAGGATAATTCTTTGTTGTGGGTCTGTCCCACAACATTGTAGGATGCTTCAGCATCCCTGACCTCTCCCCACTAGATGCCAGTAGCACCTCCTCCCCCCTACCAAAAATACCTTGTTCCTCAAATGTTTCCTGGGGTGGGGGTTGGGCAAAATTCCCCAAGTTGAGAACCACTGATATAGAACCACTTGTCCAAAAGTGCTTTCTGAGATGAAAATATTCTGCTTCTGAGCTAATACAGTAACCATCAGGCACATATGGTTATTGAGCTCTTGTAATGTGGCTAGTGCAGCTCAGCTGGTGAATTATAAATTTTATTTGAATTTTAATTAAATTTTAATAGCCACTTGTGGCTAGTGGCTACTGTATCAATGCAGTCTAGAGTCTTGCAGCCCATTGTAAGAACTTTGGCTTTTATCTTTTACCTCTCTCTGCATTTCCTATTATTCTCTGTCTCTCACTCCAGACCAGTCAGTGGTTCCCTTGCTATTTTGTTCCTTAAACTTGCCATGCAGGTCCTTGCCTCAGAGCCTTTGCTCTTGCTATTCAGCCTAGCACATTTTGCCCTCAGATATGAGTGGCTCTCTTT